CGGGAGTCGCTTATTCGATACCTCAGACTTAGAGTTTGCCTCGTAAGAAGAAGTGAGTTAAACTCTCGCGAGGGGTGGGTTTTAAAAAAAATATTTCTATTGTACACAGACGTCTGTCTGTCTTAAAACACATTGCACCACTCTCAGCCCGGGTTGGCCCTGACACACTAGATCAAAGCTGCCCGCCTCCTAAATTATCTCAGCTGTGTTCATGGGCGATGACACATTTACGATTACATTTGTCAAAATATTGTCATGTATAGCATTGAATTCCTCGACCTGATCTATCGGAGATGCTTGTTGATCTGGAAGGTTCACCTCTTCACATACCCTGCCTTTTTGGTGTGATTCCTGTGCATATTTTTAGTAAATATTTTCTTGGACTAAGATGTGATGAATGTCGCGACTTTTACAACAACGCTATCGCATGATCGTATTTCACTCTATTTCAATTTTTATTGTGTCATCAACATCATGGGCGGTTAGTTGCTCTGGTGGAATTTCGTCTCTATCAAATAATTATCGTCATTGTCTCCCCGCCCACCTTTCTATGTGTAAATTATGTCTCTCAATTGTAACACATCTCATTTTCGACACTTTGTCTTATACATGCTGTATGACCTAATTATGTTGCAGGGATCGTAAAAGTCTTACTAAGACTAAACATCCTTGTATCCCCCCCCCCCTGCCTTTCTAATTCCTATGTCTATGTTCTGTTGATGTGTTTGCTACAACAGTTTATGATTTTTTAATGGTGTCAGGCCAACGAATTACAAGATCTCCATATATCTTTTAAACAAACGTTGACAAATGACTGCAGCATTTTAGTTTTTATTGTATGTGTCCTTGTTTCCTATCCATAGAGTAGAGTTGAAAACAGTGTCTCGGTTCTTGTTCCTGTACAGTTCCTGATTTCTTCAAGTTTTATCATGCACCCATCGTTTTTATCAGAATATTATAACATACAGAAATCCTTAAGCTTTAGTGAGTGCCTCGCTGGTGCTCTGGTGTCGTTCGCTCCTTCTTTCCTATTTAACAACTATCGTCTTTATCTCTCCTCCTTCTTTTTCACGAGCTTATTACTATAATTATTTGTTACTCTCTTGTAACACCTCTAATCTTCGGCACTTATAAAACCTTACAGAGTTGCCTAACCTTCAGCTTTCTCCATACATTTCTTCAGCTCCAGTTTTTTCTTTGTTGTTGTTGTTTAATTGTTGCTGGGTTTTTTCTTGAAAATTCTGTTCCATTCAATCTGCTTGTATAGGTCGTATGTCAACAGCACAAAGTATGGTATGTACAACCGGTACTTCTTTTAAAGGCACCATTCATTTGCACACACGCACACACACACGTACACACACGCATAAACACACACACACACACACACACACACGCACACACACACGCACACACGCACGCACACACGCACACACGCACACACACAGACTCATACACATACACATACACTCACACACACACTCACACACACACTCACACACACTCACACACAC